ACTGATGGGTCTTGACTCTTTATCCAATTTACCAGTCTGTGTCTTTTAATTGGACCATTTAGTCCATTTACATTTAAGGTTAATATTGTTATGTGAGAACTTGATCCTGTCATTATATTAGCTGGTTATTTTGCTCGTTAATTGATGCAGTTTCTTCTTAGCATCGATGGACTTTACATTTTGACATGTTTTTGCAGTGGCTGGTACCTGTTGTTCTTTCCCGTGTTTAGTGCTTCCTTCAGGATCTCTTGTAGGGCAGGCCTGGTGGTGACAAAATCTCTCAGCATTTGTTTGTCTGCAAAGGATTTTATTTCTCCTTCACTGATGAAACTTAGTTTGGCTGGATATGAAATTCTGGGTTGAAAATTCTTTTCTTTAAGAATGTTGGAATATTGGCCCCCACTCTCTTCTGGCTTGGAGAGTTTCTGCCGAGAGATCTCTTGTTAGTCTGATGGGCTTCCCTTTGTGTGTAACCCGACCTTTCTCTCTGGCTGCCCTTAACATTTTTTCCTTCATTTCAACTTTGGTGAATCTGACAATTATGTGTCTTGGAGTTGCTCTTCTTGAGGAGTATCTTTGTGGCGTTCTCTGTATTTCCTGAATTTGAATGTTGGCCTGCCTTACTACGTTGGGGAAGTCCTCCTGGATGATATCCTGCAGTGTTTTCCAACTTGGTTCCATTTTCCCTGTCACTTTCAGGAACACCAATCAGACGTAGATTTGGTCTTTTCACATAATCCCATATTTCTTGGAGGCTTTGTTCATTTCTTTTTACTCTTTTTTCTCTACACTTCTCGCTTCATTTCATTCATTTGATCTTCAATTGCTGATAGTCTTTCTTCCAGTTGATCGAGTCAGTTACTGAAGCTTATGCATTTGTCACATAGTTCTTGTGTTATGGTTTTCATCTCTATCAGTTCTTTTAAGGACTTCTCTGCATTGATTATTCTAGTTATCCATTCATCCATTCTTTTTTCAAGGTTTTTAGTTTCTTTGCACTGGTTACGTAGTTCCTCCTTTAGCTCTGAGAAGTTTGATCATCTGAAGCCTTCTTCTCTCAACTCATCAAAATCATTCTCCATCCAGCTTTGTTCCATTGCTGGCGATGAGCTGCGTTCCTTTGGAGGGGGAGATGTGCTCTGATTTTTTGATTTTCCAGCTTTTCTGCACCACTTTTTCCCCATCTTTGTGGTTTTATCTGCCTTTGGTCTTTGATGGTGGTGACATACTGATGGGGTTTTGGTGTGGGTGTCCTTTCTGTTTGTTAGTTTTCCTTCTAACAGTCAGGACCCTCAGCTGTAGGTCTGCTGGAGTTTGCTTGAGGTCCACTCCAGACCCTGTTTGCCTGGGTATCAGCAGCAGAGGCTGCAGAAGATAGAATATTGCTGAACAGCAAGTGTTGCTATCTGATTCTTGCTCTGGAAGCTTCGTCTCAGGGGTGTACCTAGCCGTGTGAGGTGTGACGTGTTGGTCTGCACCTAGTCAGGGATGTCTCCCAGTTAGGCTACTCAGGGGTCAGGGACCCACCTGAGGAGGCAGTCTGTCTGTTCTCAGATCTCAACCTCCTTGTTGGGAGATCCACTGCTCTCTTCAAAGCTGTCAGATGGGCATTTACCTCTGCCGAGGTTTCTGCTGCTTTTTGTTTAGCTACGCCCTGTCCCCAGAGGAGGAGTCTACAGAGGCAGGCCGGCCTCCTGGAGCTGCGGTGGGCTCCACCCAATTCGAGCTTCCCAGTTGCTTTGTTTACCTACTTAAGCCTCAGCAATGGCGGGCGCCCCTCCCCCAGCCTCGCTGCTGCCTTGCAGTTAGATCTCAGACTGCTATACTACAATGAGGGAGGCTCCGTGGACGTGGGACCCTCTGGACCAGGTGTGGGATATAATCTCCTGGTGTGCTGTTTGCTAAGACACGTGGTAAAGTGCAGTATTAGGGTGGGAGTTACCCAATTTTCCAGGTGTTGTGTGTCTCAATTTCCTTTGGCTAGGAAAAGGGGTTCCCTTCCCCCTTGCGCTTCCCAGGTGAGGCGATGCCTCGCCCTGCTTCAGCTCTCACTGGTCGGCCTGCACCCGCGGACCAGTGCCAACTGTCCGACACGCCCCAGTGAGATGAACCCGGTCCCTCCGTTGAAAATGCAGAAATCACCCGTCTTCTGTGTCACTCACGCTTAGCTGGAGGCTGGAGCTGTTCCTAATCGGCCATCTTCCAGTTCAGGAATATTAAGCATGTTCATACTGCTGTGAAACAGATCTTCAGAACTTTTTCACCTTGTAAATCTGAAACTTTATACTCCTTAACCCCTTATCCTAAGTCCCTGGTAACCACCATTCTGCTTTCTCTGAGTCTGATTACTTTAGATACCTCATACAACTGAAATAATGCAGTATTTGGCTTTTTTGTGACTGGCTTATTTCATTTTGTATAATGTCCTCAAGTTCATCCTGTAGCAAGTGACTGGATTTCCTTCCTTTTTAAGGCAGCATAATACTCCATTTGGTAGATATAACACAACTGGTTATCTGTTCATCCATGTATCACATTTTTTTTTTTTTTTTT